TCTTTGTCAACTTTCTTTTCCACTACGGGGACAGTGACTGTAGTTGTTGTTTGGATCTCTGTCTCAACCACAGTCCTCTGAGAGTACTGAACTGTGGCTCAATGGGCACAGATCAGGCACCAGTACAGTGATGGAAACTGGTTTTCATTGGGGTGGGGAAGGCACTCTTCTGTCAGGTGGCATGTCAATTTATCAGGATTGCTTGCCTGTTCAGGTGTAAAGTCCCAGGCTATGGGAGGTGATAACCATCCTAGAAACCTGCCCAAATCCTTTCACATGCCCTGCCACCCAGAGATCTCTTGCCTCAGGACACATTTCAGTATCACCTGACCCAAAAATTGTCTTCTCTTACACCAGGATGACACCAGATTCCACAAACCACATACTATGCTACATTGATAATTAGTGGTATTAAAGTGTTCGTAAGGATGAACAAGAATCTCAGGTACTCTACCCCTTCCTCTCAGTTTTTATATCTGGAATATCTCTTTGGCCAGTTTGGGTCATCTGGCCTGGCTATGTCCCATCTCAAGATCTTGTCCACTCCCAGCCTACTGATGAGGGTAGAATATTGAAGAGGTAGCCTTGGTGCTGTGTGAGCACTGCTCAGCAGTAGCCAAAACACTGGTGTGTTATCAACACCTTTCTAGCTACCGGTAGGAAGAGCGGTGCTGTGAGGGCTGCTACAGGGAATATTAACTTCTGCTCAGTCAGACCTAATACAGAGAAGCAATGACAGAAAAGCTGGATGATGGCTGGCACGTAAAGGGACAATCCCAAACTACTACTGTTTCAGATGGTGCCAGGGAAGCACTGACTGTGCCTAATGGACATTCATTGGCAGTACTTTGCCATAGCCCCCAAAACATACCAAGAGTACCTGCTCCTTGGCTCTAGTCACATTGAAAGCAGCAGGAACATCAGAAAAAGGGGATCCAATACCTTCAAAGGTGTTTCAAAATCAGAAGATAAAGGGCAGAAAAGAACTTTCCAATAACTTTGCAAAAGTATTTAGTTCTGACAAAGCTGAAACATTTAATTAACAAATAAAAAACTAGTTCACTGATTTAATGTAAAAAACATTAAGGCGTGATATTAAAATGCTTTAATACATACAGGGTATACATCTGATATTCAGCAATTCAATAGAATAATATAGTAAGTAATTTATATATGAGTGTAACATGAAATTAAAATATATAAATTTCAAATAAATCCTTTTCTATCCTTTAGAAATAGACAACTTGGCTTGATCCCATCAGAGGAACAGATGTGAAATATTCCATTAGTCCTTTTAGCCAGAACCAACTTCTCCAGTCACCAATTTGAAAATGTTTCATCAGCTTTAATCATAATGTCTCTAATCAGAGGTAAAAATTAAGGCACAGAGGAGTAAATGGCTTTTTGTTTAAGTCTACACAGAAAGCTATTTGAAGAATCATGAACTGTTTTCCCTACAAGACAGTGCTCCTTCCAGCACTTATTATGACGATGTTCATACAGCTGTAGTGTTAATTAATGAGAAGCTATATTCAGGTTTTCAAACAGTGCTTTACTGTACCTTAATCCATTTGAGAATCCGTCTTTTCATTCCTTCCCTGTTACATTTACCTCCAACCCATTAAGCAATGTTATAGACATGGAAGAGAGCAAGATGCTGGTGCCTTTCACTGGAAATGCAGATGCTGCATGGGCTTGAAAGCAGTACCTAAACACAGATGTTCATTGGCTTACAAAATTGGCACCTGGACATCAAAAGGAAAAAATGTATTTTATTAATAAGATCCTAAGATACTAATAAAAACATTTTAAACACAGATACATCATTCTGAAGAACTTATCACAAATAAAATTAAAGTTCTCTATGATGAAAAGTCACATTAATTTTCCTTTCAGTCTGAGAAACTTGCTTCTCAGCAAGAACCTTTTGTACTGCAACCAAGGCTGTAAGTTACAAGGTAGAACAGCATGAACTAGAAAGATACTTCCTAAACCTGCTCCCTGATCACACTGAGTAAGGATGCTGAGATTATTATCAGTTTTAAAAAGAAAATAACTAGTATAAGATAAAATAATATCCGTTCAGCCTGCCCATGGCCTAGCAGCTTTCCTGGAGCTGTGTTAAGAGTTTGACCTCAGAGAACAGTGGCCCAGTGTCCCACCAGACCAGAAGTGCTCTCACAGGGGGAGGTCCAAGTTGGCAATTGGGGCTGGCCCTGCAGGAATCCCAGGAATGTGCTGGTTATGACCGCTCAGTGGGGTGCTGCTTTCTGTGCATAACCTTCTGCCTCCCTGAGACATCATCCCTTCCAGGACAGCAATGTGTGATGTCGAGCAGTTGGGTGCAAACGATTACTTGCAGTCAGACATCTGCAGGCAGAGCTTAGGCAGGAGGCTCTGTGTGTATAAGTCTGTCTATGGGCATTCACTTAAGGAAACATTACTGCTCTGCAGAAGTGCTCCAAAAGACCAAAACTTAGCCTTTGAAACAACAAAAGGGGCTGCTATGAGCACAGGCTCCCTTCACCTCATCCCCTCCTGGGTAGGCTGCTTTTTAGAATGCAGCTACATGGTCCTCCACACCTCTTCAGCCCTTGCTTGCTGGCTCAGCCTTTGGGAATCCCATGTTACCAGCAGTCATGGTGGTGTTAATGTGATATTGGCAGCCATTCACCAGGAAATTGCACAGCACTCCAAAACATGGAAAGTTCCCAAACTCTGCCTTTTTTATTGCTGGTGATTTGGCACAGAGTCTGCTCAGCCACTGCAGGCTGGCATGTTAGCCACACCTCAAGGACACAGCTCTGTGGCTCAGCATTGCCTGGATATGTGTTTGGAAGAGGTTCCTTCCTTTATGCTTCACAAGCTTACAGAAGACAGGGGAAAGATTTCTTCCCTCTTCCCCTGCCTCCCCTCCCCATCCTGGCCCTGATTCCTCTATTTTCACAAGCTTTGCTCATAAACGAATTGGGAATACTTGGTGGGAATATACTCTCTGTAAATAGTTTCTTCTTCTGCCTGCCTCCTCTGTGCAGCCAGGAATGTGGGATTTATGGAGCCAGAAAAAGCCTGTTCAAAAGAATCCCATCTCTTTAACACTAGGAATTAAGATATTCAGCTGGGCTGAGCAGATCTCAGTCCTGTCCCCTTCACATTTATGCAATCTACACTAGATAATGAAGTAAAATCAGACATGGTCTGAAGACCACCTACTCACCTGCCACCCATTCTCCCCATCCACCCGTTACTGATGTATGGGCCTGAGCTTTCTTCCTGTTCCCAGCTGGCTCTGCCCTGGAGAATCTGGCAGCAGGAGTGGGAGCGATGCCGCATCCTGGTGCTGCAGCCCAGGTGGGGTTTTGCTTCCCAGCAGAGCCTTCCTCAAGCATCACAGGTCTCCCTCAGCACACGACCTGGCTTCACCTAATTTGTGGCCCTGCTATAAGACTCCGTAGACACACAAAGAAGTTGCGACAACTTGAGAAGTTACCCCGAGTCCACTGTCAAGTGTGCAACCATCACATTACTGGTCCTGTGGCAGAGACTACATGATGCTGATGGACTTGTCCTGCTTTGCCAGAGAGAGAGCCCTTCGGAAGGCAGCAGGGAGGCAGGCGGCAAAGAGTAAATTAAGCCTCTTTGTTTTAATCAGCTCTGACAGAGTCCAAGGCAGCAGCTTTCCGTGGTTTCCTGCAGGTTTTTTTCCTTTAGGTGGCGGTATGTGTTTGCAGCTCCCCGCAGCACCGCCTGCGCTCCCAGCCCTGCGCCCAGCATCCTCACCCGGTGCTCAACCAGCACTGGGTTAATTTTCCAGAAAATCCTGCACAAGCAATTAAAATGTTAATGTTGTGAGGGAAATGCCTCTGTTGAAGTAAACTCATTCGAGAGTCGGTTGTGCTCAGTGGAAGGGGAACAGTCTATTGATTTTGAACAAGGTCATATCTCATCAGACTTGCCACCTGGATTATTTTTGTTTGCGCTGATCAGCAACCGAGTCCTTGGTTTCCCAGTGAGTTCGAAATCACCTTAATGAAGTAGAAATTTTGGGGGGGAGGGGGAGGGTATGGTTTCCTTCCCAAGAATTTTCTTTATTACAGAAATGTGCTCCTCACCTGTTTATCTCTGACCACCTGCTCACCTCTGTGTTTGTTAACCTTATTTCACTAAAGCAGCAATAACTGATGCAAAACTCTCAGTTCTGGCAGCTGCCAAATGAATTCATACCTTACACTGGGATTTGTGCTGCAGCCAGCCAGCAGTGCCTTCCCTCAGCAGGATGGAATTGCCTCAAAGTGAAATTATCTTAGAAACCAACAAATTCAGCAGTGACATTTGCGTGGTCATAGGGTAGTTCTGCATTGTACTTTCTTTATAGAAGAAAGGACCATATAGAAAGAAAGTTGTCCACTTTTTTTACAGCAATTTCTGCTGATGGAGGCTGCCTTAGAATAACTAAACCATTAAGACAAGGTATGCTCAGTGAGAGCATTCTCGTATTTCATTATAAGCAAGAGACATCTGGGAACAGAGAAGCAGAAGCACCTAAAGTCTCATTTCATTTGCAGATTCCTTGTGGTCTCTGCCCAGAGCTTGTAGTCTCTCCTCCCCAAGCCAAAGGTCTTACAGTGCTCTCTTTTCATGAATGTGGTCACACTGGAAAAGGTGGACGGGCTTTTTCATTGTATCTAAAATAGGTTATGCTATTCCTAGTGATATGGGCTATGACTCTCCAACCCAAATGCTAGGGTATTTGCATGCTTAATTCACAAGCCTAATTGCCATAATTGCACATGCTCATTAGGCAATTTCGTGCGCAAATGCTGAGTTAGGCACATAACTAGGCATAGTCTTTGCAGTGTGATTTGGTTCAACACTCGTGGAAAATTTGTGAACAAATTAGACATGCAATTGAATGCACATTTTCTACGCTAAGAAGTTGGGCAGGGCCTGGCACCAGGCAGACTGCAGTCTAAATGGATAAGCAGAAGGTACTCCCCTGGTGAATCCTGGTGTAAGATTGAGTCCTTCATCCAGAGAAAAAGTCAGATCTGAGATGTCCTTCACATTATCCAAAGATCCACACCTTCCTTTCAGGCTGAGCTGGAATACTGGGAAGCAAAACAAATTTAACATTCATCTAAGAAAAAAAACTAAACCAAAAAAACAAAAACAAAAAACAAAAACAAAAACAAAAACAAAAACAAAAAAAAACCAAAACAAAACAAAACAAAAAAAAAAAAAAAAAAAAAAAAAAAAAAAAAAAAAAACAAACCAAAAACATCAACAACAATCATGAAGCTCTAATTTTATGATCTGATTGCTGAGGACGAGTAGATACAGAGCCTCCCTGTCAGAAGGGAGACAAAGCCAGCCTGTTTCTTCCTATATTCCC